TTGCACAGCATTTTCCTGTTACAGCATATTCTCACCATTCTTTTACAACATTTTCTAAAAGGTAGCATATACCTGCTGCTGCAAAGATCCTGTGTCTAACTTGCTAGAGCCTGTCATTTGCTGACCAGAGGGCCTTCCACAATACTGAGTTAATAGGCAGAGAGCTCCCCTAAGAGGGTGCATGTACAATATGTAGATTTTTGCAAACTATTCTCACTTGATATGAGACAGCATCTTAAGAAATCAGGGGGGCAAGGGGGGCAAACAGTAGCACACACAAAATTTGTAGTGAAGGATCTATGAACTCCTATCAAGGCACTTAAAATCCTCCATTTTCAGGACTGACATTCTATATGGAAAAACTCCTCTAATCAAATGTTAACACAGCTATGCGAAATATAACATCCACAGCCTTCCAAAAGGTTTTATGTAACCATGTGTTATCCCCATAATGCCTCTCCTCTTTATTTGAGCCGTCAGTGTAACAATGACTTAGGTCAGAATTTCAGTTAGTCTGAATCAGCCAACTGATCCCTGACATTTGCAGGGGAAGAAGCAATGAGTCCAACCACAGATACATGAGGGGAACTGTAGCAAATGGAAGTTCTGATTCCTCGTAATGGCAAGATTTTCCTCAAAAATTTCTGAAACAGTAACATGCATCTTGATTAGCTGTTTCTATGGTTATTCAACAGATGGGTTGGGTGGGGTTTTTATTTATATCCTCACACTAGCTCTAGATTATAATGGTATGGCCTGAAGTTACACCAAGCATCATTTTCAAATTCCAGTGTTTGTAGTACGTTATTAAGTTTATTTTCAAGATGTCTTCACTTTTTTCAACTTAGAAGCAGTAACTGGAGGCACTAAAATATAAAAAATATTAAAGAAAATGTTTGGGTTTTTTTTATTTTTAAGGTCACATTATTAGACATCTCTATCCTGGGGAAACCTCTTATTTTTTGTATAGAGACTGAAAATCCTGAAGCCTTTTAAAGATCCCCCCAAATAATTTTAAATACTACAACACAGCTAGCAATTTTTTTCAAGCAGAAGCCACTTTAAGAGTTTGCTTGTATTCACAACCAGGGAACATTCAGAGTCCAACTTCTAGACTCCATCTGCTCCACCGTTAATGCAGACAAGTAGCCTTTTAAAAGAAGAACTTTGAATGAATGAGCCCTTAGGGAAGCCTATCTTCTCCCCAGGGAGAAGCTAAACCTCCCACTTCAATGCCTGAAGCAAGGTTCACTACACCTCAGCAAACTGGCTAGAAGTTTTAAATTTTGTGAGTTTTGCAGAGAAAAAGGAATCAACGGGTTGCTCTCTTCCAGTAATTGGAATTAAGAGAAAAGCATTATCTACTAATTCACTTTGTGGATGTCCATTAAATTATACAAGTACTTAATTTAAATCAGCTTTAATCAGCTACATCAAAGGCACATGTTTCACTCAAAGAGAATTAATAAAACCTGCTATCCCCAAGGCAAATGGTAGTAACATCAGAGTGGCAAACAATGAAAAGAAAAAAAAAAAAGAAAAAAAAACAAAAACAAAAACACTGTTCTACATCTATTATTCTTCAAAGAATCCTGTTTTCAAGTTAACCAGAAGACATTCTGAGAACTTGTTGAGAGTCACCTTCTTCCCTTAAGCCAGTGGTCCCATATTATATTTGATAAAGTCTAATACAATAGTACATTGTAACTTCTTTACTATTGCTAATTCTAGGCAATGTTTCTCTCCTTGCAATTACCTCCTCAGGGATGTCAAGTGTGTTGGGTCTGTGGGTGTGTGGTGGGGGTTTTGGTAGTGGTGAAGGGAGCTACAGCAGTGGCCCCCCTGTGAGAAGTTTCTTGAAGCTCCCCTGGTTCCAAACTGGATATGCCTCTAGCCAAGACTGAGGCAATTAGTGATGGTGTCTGTGCTGTTGGAGAACGGCTTGCAGAGAACAAGGCCATGGGTCTCTGCAGAAGCTGATTGCAGCCATGTGAGGTAAACAAAGGAAAAAACCCACGGTACAGTTATGCTAACAAAGGACTGTTATGTTAACAAAGAGAGAAAATGAGGTACATTATGGCCTTGTGTATGATAAAGGAACGGCCCTGGGAGAAAAACAGGTTCAGAAGAGGGAAGATGTTGCGACATACCTGAAATGCCACAAGGGGCTGGGATATTATAATGTAGCCTTTTACATGTATCCAATAGATTTGTGAGTAGTATGCATGATTATTGTAGCGTGCTTATATAAGGTGTGATTTCTTTCAATAAAGTTGAAGCTTGCTCTATCATTCACACTGAATCGGCTGCTTGCTTCCTCTGCCCGCCGCACTGTGCCTCTGCGATAATGTATTTAAGGAGAACCTGGGAGGAGGAGTGGGAGTTGTGAGGGAGATACCTCTGCAAACTAGTGAAGTCGAGAAGGAAAGAAAGCAGGTTTGCCAGAGGAGAGACTCCCCTGCATCCTGGAGTGAGAGGGCAGGCTGTTCCACTGCAGCCTCTGGAGGTCCACGGTGGAGCAGATGCCCACCTGCAGCCTGGGAGGACCCCATACTGGAGCAGGTGACTGCACCTGAAAAAGGATGGAACACTGTGGGAAGCCCACACTGGAGCAGTTCATTGCTGGGAGAACTGTGACCTGCAGGAGAGACACACACTGGAGCAGTCTGTGAAGAACTGCAGCCTGTGGGAAGGACTCATGTCAGAGAAAGTTCATGGAGGACTGTCTCCTCCGAGAGAGGAACCGTGCTGGAGCAAAGGAAGAGCATGAGGAGTCCTCCCCCTGAGGAGGAAGAAGCAGCAGAGGCAATGGGTTATGAACTGTCAGCAACTCCCATCCCCTGTGCCACTGGAGGGAAGGAGGGAGAGAAATCAGAAGCAAAGCTGAGCTGGAAAGAAGGGAGGGTGGAAAAAATGTGTTTTTAACATGTGGTTATACTTATCACTGTCTTACTCTGTTTGACTGGAAAATTAAATGGTGGTGGTGGTGTTTGAATCAAATTTTTTTTTTTTTTTTTTCTTCCTTTAAGGAGTCTGTCTTTTGCCCATGACCATATGGGTAAAACATCCCTCCTTGTCCTTATCTCGATTCCTGAGCTTTTTGTTTTATTTCCTCCTTCCCATCCCTGAGGGGGAGGAGTGAGTGGCTGTGCAGTGGTCAGTTGCCCTCTGGGCTGAAACCATGACACCAGGGCTGAAAGTAAATAGAAACTAAACATCACAAAGTTTTTCAAAAACTATAAACTGACAAATTACTCTGTATAGCATTGCATCTTTCTTGTTACTAGCTATTCTTATACCCTTCAGTTGCCACAATATATTCACATACAGCACTGCATCTGATGTGCATTTCCACACATGAACTTCAAAACTGTACTCCTCACTGACTTCTAGACATCAGAGTCTATAGAGAGAAGTGGCCTTTTAGTTGCTTTAAACTGCTCGAGTGGGAAAGTCTCTCTTCACTATGTGTGCAACTGATTCCCTTTCAAGTTTCTCCAGCATCTCTTCCCAAATAACCTCAAGTTTTCTCTAGAGTGCCCTACACTATGTGTACAAGGCATCAGCCTCAAATATTACGCTTAACCTAAAGAGCATATGTAACGCCTAACGTGAAAACTGCTTCTGTAACAAATATGCTAAGTGCTACGTATGCCAAACCTAATATAACTTCAAAAGCTTCCTGACACCACAGAACCCCCAGAGAAAGGTGTAGCAATACACAGTGAGAAGACTTTGGTTCTTTAGTGTCCTAGAATAAGGCTACTAGAAAATACTTTAATTTCTTCTACCTTTCAAAATTACTGCTAATTCCAAGAAAACAAGTTAAAGCAAACCTCATGAAGTTCAACAAGGCCACGTGCAAGGTCCTGAACCTGGGTCAAGGCAATCTAAGCAGATACAGGCTAGGCGATGAGTGGATTGAGAGCAGCCCTGCAGAGGACTTGGGGTTACTAGTGGAAGGAAAACTCAAGTCATTAGCAGGAACTCACAGCCCAGAAAGCCAATGGTATACTGGGCTGCATCAAGTGTGGCCAGCAGGTCAAGGGACAAGATTCTCCCCCCCTGCTCTCCTCTTGCAAGATCCCACATGCAGTACTGTGTCCAGCCCTGGGGCCCCCAGTATAAGAAGGACATGGACCTGCTTGAGCAGGCCCAGAGGAGGCCACAAAGATGATCAGAGGACTGGAGCACCTGCTGTACGAGGACAAGCTGAGAGAGTTGGGATTGTCCACCCTGGAGAAGAAAAGGCTCTGGGGAGATGTTATAGCAACTTCCAGTACTTAAGAGGCCTACAGGAAAGATGTGGAGGGACACTTTTTAGAAGGGATAGAATGATAGAACAAACAGAAATAGGGCAGAATTAGGTATTAGGAAGAAATTCTTTACTGTGAGGGTTTTGAGGCACTGGCACAGGTTGCCCAGAGACGCTGTGGCTGCCCCCTCCCTGGCAGTGTTCAAGGCCAGGCTGGATGGGGCTGTGAGCAACCTGATCTAGTGGAAGGTGTCCCTGCCCATGGCAGTGGGGCTGGAACTAGATGACCTTTAAGGTCCCTTCCAACCCAAACCATTCTATGATTCTCTGAAGAAGGTAGCTAAACATAATTTGGTCTTTTTTTTTTTTTTTTTTTTTTTAGTAACTACAAATCATTGTTACTTTGTATTATATCATAATGCATATATTACCATGCAATTTATTTGCAAGAAGCCTCAAAAGTGCCTGTTTCACAGCACATGAAAGCTCAACTTCTTTCAGGTAAGTATGGAAAAAGTCTTTAGTACTTTCCCAAATGCTGATTGAAATTTATTTAACAATGATAAAAATGGAAAGATTTTACATTTTCCCTACTACAGAAATAATTTCCAAAATTATGATTTCTTATAAATAAAATGAGTAAACTACTTAAATTACATCTTAGGTGTTTATATTAAATATAAATGGCTTATACTTCATAACAAAGAAGAAGCATTCAGTATTTATAAAATTTCAGATACACAGGCCTTGTACATATGGCTTCATTAACATCTTACAATTTGTTCTCAGTCATACCCATCAACACAAATAGCACCTCTACAGAAAAGATGCATCCTAATTATTTCAGTGAATTGCTGTATAGTCCATTAGCGAGAACATGTTTTAATTAACAGTTCTAATACCAGTTACAGTGTACAGTACTTTTACCAACCTACTGTGTTGTAATTATACAAGATAGGAGGAAGAGACCAAATCATACAGCCCTCACCACAATAGACTCCAGTACAGGATTACTTTAGGAAAAGCTGGAAAATTCAGCTTATGATAAATAATTCAACATGTTTATTAAGTAGTGGGCAACATATTCCAACAAGAAGTCAGACTTCTGGCTGCACAAAACTGCAGTCAAATTTAAGTGCCATTTTGAAATTAAAACCACATTAGGGAGTTAAATACCCATCAAAACTAACTGATCTGCAAGCAAGATATTTTCATATCAATGCTTTCGCAGGTTTCACAGACCTCATCCCCTTTTGGAGAAAGTCTAACAGTACAAAAGATAAACTTAATTACTGAACAGTTTCAAATTGCAGTTTATGAGGATAGGACATTCACTTTTAGAACACTGACAGCCCAACTTCTCCATTGTAATAGAGTATTATGAAAATCCCCACACCAGACTGAACTATTGTTCAGTCTGAAAATACATGCAATTATGGAAACGATCCCAGCATCACATCACTGCAGGTAGTGAGGACATTCAGCTAAAAGATCATACAGACAGCCCTCCAATCAGCTGAGAAGTTACAAAAGACAGGAGCTCAAGATGTACACTGTAGTATGGGAGGAGACAGGATACAGCCTTGAAGTTTTGTCTAGCTTCTGGGCTGTTTAACAACCCCCAGCTACAACATACATACACTCCTGCAAAAAAAGACCTGAGGGAAATTCTTCCAACAATACAGAAGTTCAGAGTAAGTCACATTTGCTAACATATACTTTGGTAACACAGCTCTTTGCAGGTAAAGCAAGCAGCAAAACATCAGTATGAAAAAAATCCTGTTATGATAGCTGAATATTTGAACAAAGTTAGTACATAAAGCATTTCTGGAAAAACATATGAAAGCACCAGGACAACAGTTGAAGCTGACTTGGGTTAAAATGTGTAAGTACTAGAAAATCACCACAAGCTCTGAACACAGTTCACCATATTGAAGAAAGTGTTATGAAGCTAACAGAATAAAGCTAGGACTAATCTCATTTTAACATCTTAAGAAATATTTTCAAACTCATTCTAACAGAAGAAAGAAAATGCGAAATGAGTACACAGTCAATTAGAAGTTGAACATGACAGCTGAACAGTATTATCAAACAATTTACAAACAGAACAAGAAAATAATAAAGGAAAAATTACAAGCTTGTGCAAGAACTTTGGAAACATGCCAATATTCAGGGAATTATTTAGACAATAGGGGAATGAGGATAAATCTAAAAACTAGGAGAAATAACATGTAGCTTGCTTACCAAGTTTGCAATTCAGCAGCACTGCAAAACTAGCTAATGCAATTTGGGAATGACTCCAAGGTAGGACACATTTTTTTCCTCAATAGAACTTTGGCACAACTACAATAAGAATATTATGGTTTCTTCTGTGCACTAGATTAACTGAAAGACAAATTGGCAGATCTATAGAACAGAGTGACTGAGGGAAAAGAATAATTAAACTTCAAAGTTAACAGACATGCCCTCTCAACCACACAGATGGAATTATCTAAGAGTGTTTCAACACCATCTAGGAAAAAAACTCCTTTTCAATTTTACATATTAAGAGAAGTTCAATAATCCAGAGGAACTGCATTAGAAAAGAAAAACAGCTTCCTAAAAATGAAGTGCAAATGCAAAAAAGCACTGAAAACTGAGAACTCACACTAGGTTAACAAGTCAGACTTCTGGCAGCAGTTGTGTTAAAGAAGGGATATAAAGCCATAATTTCCGATTTATACATTTGTACTGGCAGATGCCTCAGTTAAGACAACCATTTGATTAAGATGGGATAGGAGAAAGTACCCTAATGCAGGCATAAAGCACAGTGCTGACACAGCATATGCATCCAAAATAGGAATATTCATTGCTTGCAAAGATATTACAGCATAGAACATTGTTTGCAGCATATTATATAGTAAAAACTGTAGTGTATTTTTTAAACATTCCTAGTGTGGTGACAGCCTCTGAACTCTACAGAAGAACAGCTGTTTGCAGAAATAAATTATGGCTCTTAACTGCAAAAAGTTCTTGAGTGTGCATCAATTTCTGTAACCCAGTGCATTCTAGAATTTTAATTAATTCTGAAAGAAGAGACATTCTGTATATTGTAGATTTTTTTTTCCCCCCGTAGTGGATCTTCATATTCCTAGGCTACACTGATCTAGGGAAATGTAGAATGATACATTTGAAAATGAAATTCTTTCTTCTTTTTCAGAAAAAACTCGAGGCTCAACATACAATAAGCGTTAGAAGATATCAATTTAAAATTAGATTCCAATTGCACTCAAATTTCTATTAAAAAAGAAATCAAATTAGACAATGTCTGTGTTACAGATAAGATATCAACAATACACAGAACTACACAGCTGCATTGTTTTCAGTTACTCCAAAGCAGACAGAAAAGTCAAAGCTATATGCTGGAATTGCTCATGTGAAATTTATCAACATTTCTACACAAATGAAAGCTACAAAGACTAAAACACAAGATGGACATTCAGTACAAAAGCAGGAATTTTTAAATGAAGCTCAAATTAATCCTATACACTTCTTCAGAGTTCTGTTCCAAGTCAGCATTTGATATGAGTTTACACTAAAAAAAAAGACAGTAAGTGACAAATGACTGTCTAACAAGGAATGAGTCCCTTTATAATTTCAACAATATCTACCTATATGAAAAGTTAAAAATCGAGGTGGTTTAAATATAAGAAATACCTTCAGTGACTTCTAGTCATTATAGGAAAACAACCCTCCTCATCGGGAACAACAATTAACATTTAATATTTAAAGCTTCGTCCTTTGTAGCATTTATTCTACCATCATATGCCCACTATGTTACATGTTGTGTACTTTATGCATCCATTACATAAAGGAAACGTTTTAATATTCTTTCAATGCGCATTAACAACAAATCATGTCTCAAGTATAACTAATCATATTTATGTTGCTCATTTAAATTTAGTTTTTATTTACTTGTACAAATAGTTTGAAATTCTGAAATAAAAAAAAAAAAAAATCAGATATCTTAAAATAGTATGCTTCGGTTACATTCTGTCATTGTCACCTAGCTGCCACATTCATATAGCCCCACCAGTGGATGATTAATACTAACAAGATTATCATTTCATGTACATGTGTATTATTTAATCCTCATTCTAAATATAAATTTGCAACACAGTAGTACACCGCAGGTACAGAAGTAATGCTTCCTATCAGGCATGTGAAAAGATTAACACTCTACCACAGTTGATGCTGGTGTATTTATATAGAAGGCTCCTCATATCATTTCAGTCTACGGGAGGTAGATGTTTGTCTATGAACTGTTTTACATCCATCATCTCCTGTTTAAAGATAAAGGTATGTATTAGTTGATATTCCCTACTAATACATATTCAGCTACACTAAACCATTTCAGTTCTAATGAGCAGCTGGGCTACAAATATTGAGTAGTTACTTGATAAAATCATACCACTTTGGACATTAACAAATAATTGCTGATAACTCTTCAAGGCACTATGTACTCAGCAAAGACTAAAATACAAGAAAAAGAGCACAGAGGGGTTTTTTTTTTTTCTCTCCCTCTCTCTCTGAAGTGCAGACGACAAACTACATATTAATCATCAAGAGATCTGAATAGCACCAGGCTGAGCATGGATAGGATTTGAATGTAGCTAAAAACCATAGATTCATGCAAACTTTTGCATGTTACTAGCAGTGTGAAAAGCAAGCAGCTCTTCCTCCTAACCATTCAGTTTCACTTTCATGATGCTTCCTTCCTTAAAAAAAACAAGTAACACAGCAAACTTCACTGGGGAACCAATCCATGTAAAAAATAATTTTTTTTATTAAGTCAGTGTTGTAAGAAAGAGCACATTATTAGTATTTGTGTGACAACTCAATGCTATTACTGCCTAAACACAATACAACTGTGTAAATGTCCCAAAGAGGTTGTCCAAAGGTACAGGTCCCACAAGATGCAGCAATCCAAATTAACAAAGTTACTGCTGCTGACCAGTGGCAGATCTGTTCCTTACCTCATCTTCTGTTTCTTGCTCCTACCACTTACTTTGTGTGAGTTCTGATACTTCATTACGGCTGCAAAAACTAAACTAGCGGCTTCTGACATTTAGCAAGTTCAGATGATTCAAAGAAGTTCCTGATCAGTTCCAGAGCTGGTGCAAGAAGGAAAAGAGGGGCACAGAGTCATGAGCAGAGGGAACTAGTTCACCTCTTTCTGGAAGCAGCAAGCCATTACATCAGCTCAGCTGCCTGCTGAGCCAGATTCATAAATAGACGTTCAGAGGCTGCCTCTTCCACAGTGTCAGTCCTGCCTCCTTATTTATTTGATGTCTCCATCCATAGAACTAACAGGATTCTTCTCTCCAAAATCCCATGTTGTATTTATGCTGTCACTGTGAGGATCTGCCTTCCAATTCAGTGTTGTTTTGTTTTTTTTTCCAGTAAACAATTAAGATTGCGGGGGGGG